GAGTTTTGCTTGTTTTGTGTGATGTTTTCCTGAGGACTGTGTTGTCAGGACGTGTGTCGTGCTAAATCAGAACGTTTTTGATACTAAATTAACTTCTGAAATATAATTTTTTTGTTTTTATATTTTCAATATATTTATTTGTTTGTGTTTAAAGAAATAATTTTTAATGATACAATAGCCACAATTATTATTTTTAAAAAATTTTCATTAGGCTTAACATTGACGAAAATTCAACGTGAAGTGACACGCAATGGAGAAAAATTTCAACATGGGATAGGTTAATATATTTTTTCATACATGATCACTTATCCAAACAACCCCAGTCCTGAACTGTTTCAGATAATCAATACTCTACTGTAGTTCCTTCATGCGCATATCAAGAATCACCTCCTAGTGTGAAATACATGTGGCTATAAGTGAACTTCCATTGCAGTCATTTAAGTACAACCTGTGTGAGAAGTGGCATCAAAGAGCAATGAAACAATGGCACTATATACCAGGTGTGGCCAAACTTTTATCCCTTAGGGACTACTTTTTTGGTAAAATATAGTCTGCGGGCAACTACGAATATGGGCAAACGATTTTTATATGCGCATGCGTTAACATTCATTTGCATTGTTCATCGGGATAAATACAAACAGTATGGGTATGTTGCACAGACAGTCTATTATTGTAAGAATAAATTATCGAATTAAGATTTTTAAACATTTAAGTGAAAGCAAATTGTTCAACTTTAGCTTCGCGGGCTACTTTCAAAACCTTTGTGGTCGACGTGTTGGCCATCCCTGCTATATACAGTTCTGCTTCACATTGGGAAAAACAGCAATGGAGACCCATGAAAAGTTGATTAAAGTTTACAGGAACCTTGCTGTGAGTAAAAAATGTGTGTTCAACAATATATTATTTAATAAAAATATTAACTTATACTGAAACTAGAAAAAATTAAACAAATTACCACCTTTTTAAATATTCCAGCAAATAATTTAATATCATAAGAACGTTTTCGATTGTATATTATTTAAACATATACAAACATCTCAAAGCATGATGTTTTTTAATCATAAACCAAACAATTGCTGTATTAAATTACCTATTTTACTGCTACAATTAGATTTCACTCTGGGTCAATTATTTTCTCATTTATTTAATAAATATTCCAGAATATTCTCATTTATTTAATAAATATTAATTTAATTATAGTTACTCAATTTAATATGAGATAGTACATAAAGCCTACCTCTAGTACCAAATTACTTAAAATCAAATTATTAATAATAGAGGTAAAATAGCCCGATTTAATATAGCAATTGTTTGGTTTGTTTTTATTTAAGAAATGCATAGTTGTTGCAATGTTATTTGTATTTGAACATTCTTTGTTTTTGTACCTAAATATATTTTTCACACAAACTGTATGAATACTGCAGTATTTTATACTGCAGTATTCATACAGTTTGTGTGAACTGTTTCAATAACAAAGATTATAAATGTACTAAAGTTTTTAAAAATTGCCTTTGGAAAATGGGATACATCTTATACACTGGTAAATATGATACTGTGGCCACCAGTGCTAGAGATTGTATGCACAGTCTGGAAACTTTTCTAACAAGTTGTTGCCTGGCAACAGATATAAAAAGAAAAAAGGGCAAAAGTTCATTGAGTTGCCTGGGTGTAGCCTGACGACATAGACAACAGCACTGATCTTATTTTAATAAAGTTCTTTTGTTACTGTTTGTGTGACTGCTTAGTGTTGGTATTTTAAGGATCAGTAGTTCTGTTTGATAATTTTGCATAAAATTCACATATCATTTTGTTATAAATACAAATATAATAATATTTTCACGTATTAATAATATTATTATGGTATTAGTAAAAAAAACCTTACACACTTTTCCAACACAATAATGTTTTACTTCAAACAAAAATGTTTATAGCCTCATTTAGGCATCCATCAATACAAATTTAATGTTGCTTATTTACCACATTTTGGAGAGTTATCTACCAACTACTGCAGCTGATATTGTCTCATAATCCTTACTATTAGTACAATTTCTATTAATTGTTGCATTAAAACTTCCCATACTTTTTGAATGCCAAAAACTCTTCTCATCATCCTTGCACCATTCCAGTTGATCAGCATCCTGGGTTTGCACACATACTGGGCCAGTGTAGTTTCTAGTTTATTATTAAAGACATTATATTTGTGCTCTGTAATTCTATGCATCCATGATCTATTAGATAGATAGATCCCATGGAGGTAAGATGCCAATCAAATCTGTTATTGTACATGGAGGCTGAGTAAACCCTATTCTTCTTTGTGTTGTATCCTTAGCATTGAATAATAATTGGAAAATGGTTGAATTGTACCTATACAGTAATACCCCTAACTTACGTGATAGGTGGGACCGAGCGATAACCGCGTAAGTCGGGGTATAATTTTGCAATTTGTGTAAAATACAAGTCGGATGTATGTAAGCTAATAAATGTTCTCGTTAATCTTATCTTGTCTTTTGATTCGTTCATTGTTAGAAGAAATCACCACATAGAGTCTCTCGAGTCTCCGTAGATATAACAAACACAGAAATAAATAACACAAAATAAATTGTAGCTATGTGTCGATTCCGTGCGACACGTCCAAACATGTAAGCTGAACAATAGTGTGAGGGGAGTGAGTAATCAAAAGACGAATCGACGAGATTTGAAAATTGCATTAACTCCGGGTTTGCGTAAGTCGAGGTATTACTGTACATTATCCTAGTGTTACTATATTTGATTATCTGTGTGTATGTAGGTTGTAGTCTCGAGTAAGTGTACTATACACTGATCCAAGTATACCAAGTACTGATCTCCTGTGAACATTAAACTCTTTTGTCCAACAAATATAAAAATGAAAACTTTTTATCATTTCTATCCTCAGAATCATCAAGACTGAACTTTTTTGAAACATTTTGCCCAATTTGAATAAATAACATTTATCAATTTTCAAAAATATTCTTATAGTGCTATATTAAATAAACTGAAGGCCAACAGTTTCCCAAAAAAGCTGAAATAGGACTACAGGATCTCATTCCTACAGTATACAACATTCATATTGCTCCTCTTAAACATGTGGAGGGTGTACAACATTTACCATGATGCTATCCCATCCTAATAAACCACCACCTCCAAAACAAGCCTCTGTCTGTGTGTGTGTGTGTGTGTGTGTTCCTTGTTATCTCTTTTTAAACATAAAGTTTAAAAACAGAACAAGGAACACACATACAGACTTCTTAAACAAACTGTAAAATGTTAGAGAGATAAAAAGTTCCTTATTCCTCCAGATAAAATAATGAGTCTGTAAACATAATCTTGGTTCATCTGTAAAGAAAACATAAGGCTGTGACTTGACTCCACGAATAATGCCATCTACAGAAGTATAAAATGATCTATCCTGTGAGAGATAGAGGTAGACAAACCACAGGTCTCTTAGCATAAAGACCATTGTATAAAGCAGAATATATGGTTTTCCCATGATGCATTTATCCCAGAGGCTTAATAGATCTTTGAAGACAGTTGCCTGGCAGTGTATCACCTATGATGCCTCACAATTAAAGCTAAATGGTCTTCTCTTGGTACTGTAATCCTTGGGCAATCTTGACCAGGCTAAGTACACATGCTTTTCTAACTTGGATTATTAAAATTTCTGTTGTTAAGAGATGTTACCAGAAACATTTCAACATTACCATCCCTAAAAACATTATAAAATAAGTGCATATCTTTGTCAAAACTATATGCTTTATAATTCTGTACGCCACATTTTAAAAAAATTATACAGTTTTATCCGTTAAAATTCTTTATTGCGTTATATGCATATAATCTAAACATGTGTAATCAACCTAATGGAACTGTGACAACAAGAAGAAAAATGAGATTGTTAACAGTGATCAGAACTGCCTCTATCTCTGGAAGACAAGTCATCTCTCATTTTGACATTATTCATCTCTGAAAGAAGAGATGAGAGATAAGTGATCAGAATACAGTCCCAGGTCTTCTTGAAATAACTCCAGTCTCTGAATTGCTGCCACAGTCATAAAACCATTCTAAGATAAATATTAGATTCCCTTATAACTAGTTTCCAGTCATTGTCCTATGGTTCTCTACTATATTAAGTCGAGTGCATGTAACAAAGTTTTTCACACTTGAAAACAAGAAATGCCTATTGCATTGCCAACCAAATTTACATAAGCAACATAATTTGCCTATTTCTCACCTATCTGCTTTCCAATATAAAAATTTCACTTTGAATAAATTTTTTTTTTCAAGTAAATTTGAACACAATACATGTATTTATGCTTAAATTGTCAACTAGGACTTAATTTATTACTAGGACTTATTGTACTGGATAACTGGTTCTGCAAGTTAAATAATCAAATCAGAAAAAAACCATTTCTTTTTCCCCAACCTAATATTTATCACCTGTATTTTCTGATTTGATTATTTAACATGCAGAACCAGTTATTCAGTACAATAAGTCCTAGCCGACAATTTAAGCATAAATACATAAGGCCACAAAGGCATAAAAGTTGAACACAATACATACATTGTTATATTTTATTCGGCTGCTTTGATAAAATAGTCAATTAATGCCATCTAGTGTTATAAATACACTAAATTGGCACAATTGAATTAAACCTTCAAACTTAATCTGCACTCATCAGCAAATTGAAGCAATGCGTCGATGTTATGAAACTATAAATAATTTCGATTAAAAACATTCCCTGTTATACCACGTGATCATCGCCATATTAGATAAACGTTAACCTATGATTTTATCGTTTTATTACGGTTTTTAAATTTTATTAAATGTACGATCGATATTATTTGCTGACATAATTTTACAAATTTCCCTAAAGATCGCAATGTATAAATAACGAACGTTCATCGATAATGCTAAATAAACAATCAATAAGCCGCCATTAACGTGCATCTTCTCATAACGAAAAATACACAATTTCAGTTCATACCTTTGTTAATTTATCGATTAGAACAGCTTTATTTCCTGATCTATCGATTCCTCGCTTTTCTAATTCTGATTTTAAATCAATAACACGTAAATCGTTAATTTTCTTTCTCTCCGACATTTTCCTTTCGGCACTGCGTTGATAACGAAATCTCGCTCCCATATCTTCTTGCTGGTTGGTGGTAACGAGATTGCCACTACCTCGTTCACAATCAGACGACTAAATGGTAAAATGTTATTTGTATTTCGTATACTATTTTATCATTAAATAGTTTTTATATTATTTATTATTTAATGATAATATTGAAAATTAAATAATTCCTTTATTTAAATAATCATGGTGTAATAATAAATATATTTTTTTTATTTTGTATTCATTCTGTGATGTACCGTAAGCACTAAGAGGCAGTGATAGATTCCTAAAAAAACAATAACAAATTATTATTTGCAGGAAAATAGCAGCCGGTGTGAAGTATATATTTAAAATATACTGTACGTTAAAGTAACAACTAAAGAACAGTCAAAACAACGTATCGTTAAATACGGCCAAATGGCCGAGCAGTTAAGGTGGCAGCCTACAGCTCTTTTTTTTTATACTCTTTCCGCCCTGTGGGCACTAAGAGGGCCTCTTATAGCAGGCCCATTATGGGTTCGGCCAGACCCACAATGGGGCGACCGGGTGATGAGGGACGGGCCCGTCATATCCGAACGGACCACCCCCGAAAAATTCCTGGGAATTCCTTGACCCGTCCGGATTCGATCCCGGGTCCCCCAGAGCGGTAGGCTACCACCTTGACCGCTCGGCCATCCGATCTGGAAAAGACGTGATCGAATTCGGACGAGTCGAATAATCCCCAGGAATTTTTTGGGGTGATCCGTTCGGATATGTTGGTTCCCGTCCCTCACCACCCGACCGCCCCATTGTGGGCCTGGCCGAACCCNTTGTTATATTTTATTCGGCTGCTTTGATAAAATAGTCAATTAATGCCATCTAGTGTTATAAATACACTAAATTGGCACAATTGAATTAAACCTTCAAACTTAATCTGCACTCATCAGCAAATTGAAGCAATGCGTCGATGTTATGAAACTATAAATAATTTCGATTAAAAACATTCCCTGTTATACCACGTGATCATCGCCATATTAGATAAACGTTAACCTATGATTTTATCGTTTTATTACGGTTTTTAAATTTTATTAAATGTACGATCGATATTATTTGCTGACATAATTTTACAAATTTCCCTAAAGATCGCAATGTATAAATAACGAACGTTCATCGATAATGCTAAATAAACAATCAATAAGCCGCCATTAACGTGCATCTTCTCATAACGAAAAATACACAATTTCAGTTCATACCTTTGTTAATTTATCGATTAGAACAGCTTTATTTCCTGATCTATCGATTCCTCGCTTTTCTAATTCTGATTTTAAATCAATAACACGTAAATCGTTAATTTTCTTTCTCTCCGACATTTTCCTTTCGGCACTGCGTTGATAACGAAATCTCGCTCCCATATCTTCTTGCTGGTTGGTGGTAACGAGATTGCCACTACCTCGTTCACAATCAGACGACTAAATGGTAAAATGTTATTTGTATTTCGTATACTATTTTATCATTAAATAGTTTTTATATTATTTATTATTTAATGATAATATTGAAAATTAAATAATTCCTTTATTTAAATAATCATGGTGTAATAATAAATATATTTTTTTTATTTTGTATTCATTCTGTGATGTACCGTAAGCACTAAGAGGCAGTGATAGATTCCTAAAAAAACAATAACAAATTATTATTTGCAGAAAAATAGCAGCCGGTGTGAAGTATATATTTAAAATATACTGTACGTTAAAGTAACAACTAAAGAACAGTCAAAACAACGTATCGTTAAATACGGCCAAATGGCCGAGCAGTTAAGGTGGCAGCCTACAGCTCTTTTTTTTTATACTCTTTCCGCCCTGTGGGCACTAAGAGGGCCTCTTATAGCAGGCCCATTATGGGTTCGGCCAGACCCACAATGGGGCGACCGGGTGATGAGGGACGGGCCCGTCATATCCGAACGGACCACCCCCGAAAAATTCCTGGGAATTCCTTGACCCGTCCGGATTCGATCCCGGGTCCCCCAGAGCGGTAGGCTACCACCTTGACCGCTCGGCCATCCGATCTGGAAAAGACGTGATCGAATTCGGACGAGTCGAATAATCCCCAGGAATTTTTTGGGGTGATCCGTTCGGATATGTTGGTTCCCGTCCCTCACCACCCGACCGCCCCATTGTGGACCTAGCCGAACCCATAATGGGCTTGCTAAAAACAGGTCCTCTCAGTGCCCACAAGGCGGAAAGAGCAAAAAATAAATAAATAAAGTCGTATCATAGAAAACAACTTGATAACACCTGAGGCTTCGAACTTCCAAACTTCAGATTGTTCAGAAATGAAAAACAGTATTTTTATAGGGTGATTTCTCCTAAATATGTTAGCCCCGTTCTTTACTATCGGGTCATCCCATTGGAACCTGGATGAAACAACAATGGGCATGATTTAAAGAATCTCTCCACTAAATTCTTAATTTGATCGGTTAATCAATTTCACATTTCGTTCGATTTGGTCAGCAAGTGTTGAAGCAACTTTGAAACTTTCGGTCGTATCTCACGCAATGATATTTCTTCTAACGGCTAAGAATTTTTCAGTGTCATTACTCACAACGCGACAATTTTGCTTTCAAAGAAATGCTACATTTATTTCCAAATTTTGTCATGTCTACCACAGTCAGAGTCAAAATTCGATAAACCCATCAAAAGTAATTTTTATTTAACTATATGCGCTGATGAATTTCAATTGTCGTTTTAAAATAATTCGTTCATTCTAGATGTTATTTTTCACTGTTGTATCTCAGTGAATTCGAACGTGGAAGAAATTTCAGGTGGCCCAGGCCAGCGGGGTCGTACCTCACTCGGTAGAGGTACCGAGATCGATGCTCGGAGTCTCCGTCTGCCGCTGTTATTTTTACAAACGTCTGCAATGAATAAATTTTTTGGCACCACAAAAACTAGTTGTTCTTGTATCTGTGCATCGGTTTACACTTCACTTCATTACAGTCAGAGTGCGATAGTCGTGTACGGTACTGTACTTATTATTCGCAAATTGACTCCTGCCAATTTTATAACCATCCGACCAGTCGCCGTAAGCTGTAGTGAAAGTGTTCGGGAAAAAAGGTTGGCTCATCGACGCTTGCAGCGGATGGCAAGGAGCGCGTAGTCTACTTTTAGCAGCAGTGACGTTCTTCGTTCGCAACTGCCTAACAAACGCCTAATAGAGTGAACTATTTACAAATGATATTACAGCCAGTTAGTCGCCGGGGACGTAGCTCAGATGGTAGAGCGCTCGCTTAGCATGCGAGAGGTACCGAGATCGATACTCGGCGTCTCCAGATTCGTTTTGTTTAAGTATTTAAACTCTGATTTCTATTTTAAAATCCGTTCTAATTACATCTGGTTTGTATAGACCAGTGTTTCTCAACGGGGGCGATATCGCCCCTATGTGGGCGATTTTCCATGTTGAGGGGGCGATTAGTGACAATTTATATTTTGGGTGCGAAAAACAATTTTATGGGCGATATAGTAAAACATTATATTAAGAATAATTAGATATTTTATTCGTTATATCGTACAATAATTAAACAAATAACATTATACTAGTCACTAGTCTATTCAATGCAGTACGAATTTGGCATTAGCCTTGGTCCTCGGCCTCGGAATTTTGAAGTGAATGGTTCGTTACAGGTTGAGAAATACTGGTATAGACGATCGAATTCTCGAAATACTTTTCAGATTTTTGCTGAAGTTAGCAAATAATTCCGTCTGAAATTTAAATGAGAATTCGCTCAGTCATATATCTGGCTGGAAAAAATTCCGTTTTGCAACTTTAAAACTTTTCGGTTAGCCAAAATTCTTATCGTTTCGGAAGCAGACTGCAAGTGCAAAGTCGGTAGCAGCGACGCACATGAGCAGCACGTCTCAGGTGTGACGATACGTAGAGAAAAAAAAATTAAATTTAATGGAGACGCCGAGTATCGATCTCGGTACCTCTCGCATGCAAAGCGAGCGCTCTACCATCTGAGCTACGTCCCCGACGTTCAGAATGCCTTTACGGCTCGTTTGCATTCTTTCATTATCTACTGCCAAGTAACGTTTTCACAGTTGCAATCGATTACCTTCGTGTTTTCGGCTGAGGTATTGGTGTGAAATTTGAAAATTTTCGAATTCCGGTCGCATTCGAAGAATCTCGTCGTCTCTGTGACCNCAGTTTTACGTAGAAATCTTCTCACTTGGCATCCTCTTTGTAGATCGCTCATGCTACGTATGCCCATCCATTTGATCGAATACAATGCAATACAATTCGTAGGGTAAGTTAATTCAGTATAGGTAAACAGGGAGGTAATGAAAATAATACAAATGTAAAATAAAACAAAATAAAGAAAGCCTTATTGTATTCCAGTTAAGACTATCAAACAGTAATCCTCAGTTTGTCATATGAAAAAAAATCTTCTTTATTTACAGTTTTCTTATTAAAACAGACAATATATTAGCGGGAGATTTTCGTCTTTAGATCGTCTTTCTACTTTGTGGCAATAATTTCTTTACAAAATGCGTCTTTCTGTTTCTACGTGACAATTTTTTTTGCCCGAAAAACTGTCAGTAAAAAATGAATTAAATAATGTTTTCTCTACTTACAAGGGAACTGTCGGAGTGGCATCTAATAAATTTTAATAAAATTTAGTTAATAGTTACGTTAAAAGTATACAAACTCTATATTAAATTTGTAGTATTCACTAAAAGAGTTAATCAGAGTTATTAGCAATCAAATGTCGTACTATTTTATATGCGGATTTTTAAAAGTGAAAGGGTCGCGGAGGAAGACGGCGATATTACATTTAGAATAAATTCTGGAATTTTCGAAAATGGGAGAAGAATTAATAACATTTAGTTAATAATTATGTTAAAAGCATGCAATCTCTATATTAAATCTGTAGTANTTTTTAAAGGTTTTTAAGTGACAAACAGTGCCTTCTTTAGAGCAGGACCTACGGGGCCCTGGCCCAGGGCCCCCTAATTCGAAAGTAATAAAGTTACAAACAAAAAATAGGTTAATTGAAATGAACAAATTATTAAAAATATCAAATACTTTACTTTTCCTATACGTAGTTAAAAGTGATCTTAAAACTAAGCAAACTTACAAAATTTTTCTTCGACATTTTCCTGCTGTGAAATTTCATAATTAATTTATCGAAATTTACTTTATTAAACATATCCGATTCTATACTCATAATAGAAAGATTATTTAATCTCTATTGAGACATCATATTAAGATGATCATTTTTTATAAATTTCGAAATAGAAAATGAACGTTTACCAGAACAATATGTAATCATTAAAGTTAAAAATATTCTAAGACTGGTCTCTATACTAGGAAATGTACACGATAGCAAATCCTGCTTTATTAAAAAATACATATCTGAGATCGACATATTTTCTTTACCTTTATGTAATATACTATTGTTTCTGTTTCCTTAAAGGGGCCCCATCTTGGTCCTAGCCCAGGGCTCCTTACGTTCTAAAGACGGCACTGGTGACAAGAGAAAAACAAATACATCAGAAAGTAAAGTATTTGTTTATAAATATTGATGCTTGTATACTTTCTATAGTATAAACTTTCAATTCTTGGCCCCATTAAATATTGTCGGCTAAAGTTATAGAGCTTTTATCAGATTTATGATTTGAAACCCTTCATTAGCATCATTGCACAGATATAAACTATAAACGTGATTCCCATAAAATTATGAATTTTACGATTAATCAAACGCCTTCACATTTTATAGTATTTAAAGTTTCGACATTAAGCATTTTCCTTTATTCTAAATAATTAAGGCCGATATTTTTAAAAACTCATTTTAAAATTACCTCGTAATTAGAACTCGTAATATCGTAAATTTTTATAACCTTGTTTCTGTGTTCAAGAACACAGTAGAGCATCGATTATCTGACTCAATTGGGGACTCGGGTTGGTCGGATAATTGAAAAAATCGGATAACCGAAAATAATGAAAAAATACATTATTAGTATAGTATATTAGTATATCCCATGTAATTAGTTTATTAGTATATCGCTATTAACCAAGTTCGCGTTGAATTTTCATCGATGTTAAGCATAACAAACTTTTTTAAAAAATAATAATCGTCGCTATTGTATCGTTAAAAATTATTTTTAAATTATTTTATTGCTCACAAAACAAACAACCACTAATAATTAGAAAATTAAATCTCGTTTAAATACTGGCTTCCCTTTCATGGTCGAGCCAATGTTGCCAGCTAAACCACGCAAAAATTTAACAAAAATTATATTAAAGTAGCCAAGACATAGCCAAATGTTGTAGGGCCACATCACTAGCAGACATTTGAAATTTGCCGACTAGGACAGTCGGTTAACTGATGTGACGGTTAATCGGGGGTCGGATAATCGATGCTCTACTGTACTTTGAAGGTGATAGTGCGTAGGTGTTTTAAACTATTCAAACCAAGGAACTGTAAGCCATCCTCGAACTTTTGGATCCTACCACGTAGTTATACAATAGAAATGACGTGTTTACTTTTTATTCTGTATTTTTCCACAAGCTGTACCAGCGCTGGAAAACGCTGGAATTTTTGCGGTATGATGAAAACATTTCGATTTTTCCAGAATGTCGCCGCATGTGTGTATTGTTTCAGATACTGTGTTACTAAATCGAGTGAATGTAGTAATTAATGTAACCATATTGTAATATAATATGTAAATTAATTGTACATAATGTAATACAGTATGTAAATTATTCAATTCATTATTAAAACATCAATGAAAATTTCTTATATACGCCAAACCGTATATTAATTAAAATATATTTAATGTTGCAAACATGGTTTTTAATACCATCGTTTTATAATATCGAAGAAATTAATTAAGTTGAAATTTCATGTATCCAGATATAAAAACATGTGTTTCAAATGAAAAAACAAATTATCATAGTTTAATTGAATCATTTTAATGTCGATCGTTCTGCCACATTTGAGACTACAATATTGGAATTTTTTAATTTTTTTTTACTCCAGATATTACAAAAATGAAATATTTCGTATAACATTAAATTGTAATTCCCCGCTATGGTTTATATACACATTTTATCCCGTATGAAATTCGCACAGCTATACTCTAAACTTCAATTAATTATGATAGGATTTCGCTATTTTCAGTAATAATTTGTGTTATGGCAATCGGTAGAATAGTATAATTTGTACTTTTTAAATTATATATCGATCATTAAAAATCGTTGAAAAGATTAAAATTACTATATTTAATAATTAAAGATTTTATCGTAATGTTGATTTCTGACATTTTTATTATAATTAAAACGATCATTTTCTACAATTTTCTATCATAAATCTTTATTGCACTTTAAATCAATAAACTAAGAATTGGAGATATATTTAAACACACGATTATTATTTTTCTATTGTTAAATTTCCTTATCTATTTAGACAACATTCTTAGCGTTCGCTGTGAAATTCTAGACATATCAAACACAAGGAAGAAAACAAAGGGGAGGAAAAAATTGGAGATATATTTACTAAATATAAGTGTCAACTAATACAATAAAATTAACGTGTAAATTATGAGTTTCTAGAAGATTTTTAATAATATACTTCCAGGCCGATGGAAGGCCTTCCGCGTCCCTCGCATTAATACAAGTTTCCTCTAGTTTGCTCTTATAAATCTCTATTTTCTCATCGGTCTTCGCTAATGTTGGGATCTCACTGGCTTGATAATGTCCGCATCATCCCATTTAACTACCGAACTTTGTGCCTGAGCCATCTGGGATAGTATCGTCGCGTTCGAACTTTTTTTGATGTTATACTTGTGCTCCTTTAGTCTTACACTCTAATTCCTTGTTGTAACGCCGATATAATCTTTCCTAATCCCCAGCTGTGGGTTTTCGTACGGTATCCTATACACACTTGCTTTTTCTTCCTTCCTAATGCTATCCTTGTCATTTCTTAAAATTTTATATAGGTTCGGGCCTCTTTTTAGAATTATTGTTGATCCTTTGCAGTCCGCAATTTCTTTCATAATGCCTTTGGCATATCTGTTGTAAGTGAATTTTGTGATTTTACCGGGACCTTGTATTGAGCCCCATTTTTTATGCTCTTCTCGCATCTTCTAACAATTCCTGTTATTGTGCCTTTTTTGTACCCTAAGGCTTTAGCATCTTGTTGAATTCTGTCAATTTCCTTTGCACTGTCCATAACGTTGTCACAATATAGAAAGGCCTTTCTGATTAGAGCCCGGAATCTTATAATAATATGGATCATTTGATTGCGAGGGGATATAAAGCGGACTGTGCGTTGGTTTAACGTAACACTGGTAGATAAATGCCCTTTTCTACTCTCGGGACTAGGACTCTGTTCTTGTGATGTCGAGGTCTTTATTGAGCGCCGTCTAATTTCTATGCAAAAAGGATCCCTCAGTTTCTGCTCTCGATCTGTGCCTTGCTATATATGAGTTGTAACTCATTTATGGATGCTATCGGCACTCGACTCAATGCATCCGCGTTGGTATGGGCCTTTCCAGGACGGTGAATGATCTCAAACTGATATTCCTGCAATGCCAAATTCCATCTACTTAATCTCGAGCTCTCATCCTTCACATTGATGAACCATCTAAGGGGTTTGTGGTCTGTTATGATCTTGAATTCCCTACCATACAAGTAAGGCCTAAAATATTTTATTGTCCAAATGACTGCTAAGCACTCTTTCTTGGTTGTGCTGTAGTTTCGTTCAGCCTTCTTGAGCAATCGGCTCGCGTACGCCACCGGAACTTCTCCGCTTTCGACTTCCTGCGACAGCATTGATTGTGCTGCATTGAATGCGTCAGTTGCCAAAACAAAAGGTCGACTGAAATCGGGTAATCTCTGAAGTAGAGCGGATGCCAACACTTTCTTTAATTTTATTGGTCGAGTCGAAACATTCATAATCCTAATCGGTATTTTGCCGCGGTGTTGCGTTTTCACTAAGACACCTGCGATAAACGCTCCTTCTCTATCCGAAGTGCAAGGTTCGACACACCTACTGGTCCACCATTTCTCCTCTCACGTTCCCTTCCAAAATGACTTCCGATCACGGGGGAACTACGCAATCGATTAACAACACATCTTTCCGAGTGTCATCTTCTCTTTTGTTTTTTCTAACTGTTGATCTTTGGTTGAAAGTTTCTAAACTGCTTCGCTGTTTATTTATCTGCGCGTGGCTTCCTTTTATACTCGTTGCTTTTATTACACTTATTATCATCCTCGCTAACATTGTCTAATCACGTCGAATTTTCCTCAAACCTAACTCGTTGTCTACTATCATTTTTTCCTACTCCTTGAGGATGACTAACATTGTTGTGAAAACTCGCTAATCCCCAGAAGGTTATCTCATCTCCTGTTGGGAATATTAGCTTCGCGTTTTTAATGGATATGGTTATATCATATTTCTCAATTATATCCCTTCCTAAAACCCCTCATTTGGTTCGGTTATTTTAAGGTCTAAGTGAAGATTTTATTGCCGTTCCTTCCCAACTCCCGTCTGAGTTGGTTTCTTGTGTATCACGACTCGATGTAATGAATCAGCTTCGTTGGAAAGCACACCTCCACACTCAAATTGAATATATGTACAGTTTATTTACAGTTGTAGAAAGTACAAGTTGGAAAACATCGTGTATGTACAGGATAACCATGCGTAGTGAATTCACGTGCCAGATTGGCGTCTGGGAACTAATAACCTTTGGAGAGACCTCAGTCAGATTGTGGAGTCGGCTCAACTGCACGGTCGGTCCGGTCTCAGCACTAACCCGTCCCTGAGAAGATCAACAGAGGAGAACACTCTCTCTTTACGCTGAGCGGGCTTCCCAAGTGCCTGAGATAACCGTGTATCAGTCTCTTGCCCTTCTCTCCTTGACTCTCGTTCGCCCCGCAATTTAAAAGATTTTGGAACGGGAACTTCCGACCAATCACAACCCTTTTTTATGCCCGAACAGCTTACACTCAGGTCCGCCGTCATCCGTCGAGAGTGAAGCTTACACAAACGTCCGCCACTTGTTTACGTTCGTTTGTTTACAATATGGTAAATGTACTACCGTCTGACTCAACGCCACCTAGGTGGCGTTGTCTGACTGCAGGTAGGTCCAATTAACAAAGCCGGCGCTTCCTTCGTTTACCCTTGTTTACAAGTCAATACCTTACAAGTGGTATTACCCGACCGCACGTGGGTCCAATTGACAAGGTCGCGCCTCTTTTGTTCCCACTCTGCTAAAAGGTCACTACTTTACAGTCTACTACGTAACATTTGTGAGAAATTTCTAGACTACCGATTTTAAACTTTGTTATATTTTCCCATTGTTTCGTGACCTGTTACACAAATTAAATCTAACGCGCTTGTTTCCGCTTCCGGTAATTTGTTCGAATCTTGGAAGAGAGATCTAAATACAGTGGGTGGTCGGTTAACGAACAGTTCGGATAGCGAACAAATCGGATAACGAATACTTTCGCGAAAGATTTTTATGATCGGACAACGAACACTTTACTGAACAAACATAAAAAGAAGCGACGGAAAATAACGAATACCGATTGATTTTCCCTTGTCTTCAGGTAACAATTCGAAACACCTTTCGGAGCGCGGGAAACGTCAACATCGACGCTCAACCCGATACCGATCGAATAGTGTTTCCCCGAACTTTGAAACTCTCCGTTGTAACTTCAGCTTTTTGTTTACCTTTCTGACAAATAATTTTTTATGGTCTTCGCGAGACTGTCGGACAGGCACTTGTTAAGTTTTGCGTCGGAGTTTATTTACGAAAGGTGAAAGTTTAACTGTCCCATCGGATATTCGTTAACGTTTTAATACCAAATTTCGAATTTCATCCGGGCCTTGCATTTAAATAATTTTTGTGGGCTAGTTGATTTCTGTTCTCTGAATTTTTGTAAGTGCTTTTTGAACTTTTTATTTAAAAGAAAAACTGATAATATTATGGAGCCTAAAAAGAGGAGTGTCAAGAACTGCACTCACCGTAGAAACCAAGTAAGAGATAATAGCCAAGGTAGACAGTGGGCACAAGATGTCTGATGTTGCTAGGCAGTATGGCTTGAACAGGTCTACAGTAGGCACAATCTTAGCTATGAAAAACATATCAAGAAGTCTGAAGTTGCTAATGGAGTAATGAAAATCACATCTGAGAAATAAAAAGCATTTTAGAGCTCATAATGGAACCTGAAACTGATCTGACAACAGAACTCCAAGAACTCTTAAATGAAGAACACCAAGAAACTAAGCCAGATGTGTTTTCTTTTAAAAAAGAGGAAGATGAAAGAGGACCAATGTCGACATCTGCTATTAAAGATCTTTTGAAGAAGTGGGAGGATGTCGGAACAAAGGTCTTAGAATGGCATCCAAACCAGAATAAGGTTAATGGGATTGGGGATCTCTACAATTACAATACTGTTAATTACTTCCGAAAAATCCTGAAGAAAAGAGAAAAGCAATCGACATTGGACATCTTTCCCCATCTTTAACCCCACAAACGAAAAAAATATGACTAATAAAAATGCAAGACTGCATATATATGTATTTTTACTATTACATATAAACAAATGTGGTAAAAAGGTATATATTTTTTAATTTTTGGAGTCTCCAGAACGAATAATCAAATTCCCATAAAAACCTATGGTAAATCGATAATCGGTTAACGAACAATTCGGATAACGAACAAAGTCTTGGAACGGATTATGTTCGTTACCCGGTCACCCACTGTACTAATGTAACAGCTGCGCCCATATCTATCGTAAGTCGCGCTCTTTCACTCTCTACTTAGCAGACTAAGGTGCATGGCGGTAAGAATCCTCGCTCTTTGACTTACCGTTTCCGGCTAATGGGATCGTATCGCGCGCTTCATCTCTTAAATGTTCTAAGTCGCGCGGTTGTTCTCTAATTTCAATCGAAATAATTCTATCGCCACGATTCCCTTTCGAATCATCTCGATTTCCTTCTCTTTGATTATCTACTTGTCTAAAGCTCCCCTCAGGACAGGGTAAGGCCAAGCATTTGCTGGCGGTCGCGCTGATCGGTGTTCGCTGGGTCCCAAAACTCCTTTCGGCCATAACGCACCGAAAAATAATGCAATTTTGGTCATTTTTTGTTCATATTGCCTATACTGTGCCTGATAAACTTTTTGTTTAAAAAAAGAAAATAAATTTAAAGTACAGTTTTAAAATGAGTAAAAGTGCAACAGTGCACTTATTATCTAAAAATGTAAAATAATGTCAATTATCATTTTTTCAAAATATAATTCTTACTAATTTGGATATATTGAGTAAACACAGTAAACTTGACGTTTTGATTTAAAATGTTATTTAATAAATTAGCGAAATTATTAAGAATTAGATTTATCCATTTGTAAGATTTGCTTTGCTTGTTTCTTTGGCAAAATTCTTCAAGTTGTTTGCTTTAGTTTTGAGCGTATTTTATAAATTTAATCACTTATTAAAACTTATTTACATTATCAAAAACATAAATTTAAATAAACTTTCTTTTTATTTTTTGATTTTATAACTTTTTTTAATGATTTTCTTACGTTATTTATTTATTCAAAAATGAATATTTTCAGTAAATATTTAAACAAATTAAATCATATAAAATTGAGATTTTATTTCGATTAGAAACAGTTTTTTTTAAATAAAATGATAAGCGTAATACTAATTTTTTTAGTTATAAACTTATAATATTTCAACACAAGGACGAATTTTTAAATAAATATTTTTTTTAGTAAATCAGTAAATCTGCAGAGTTATAGTTGAGAATATTTTTAAATATTAGACTCACGAGTTTTTAAGGATAGTTTTTAAGCACGTAAGGATCATCTAAGTTTAAAAAAAACTATATACATGTTAAAGAAGGTGCTTAAAAACAGGATGAATCCTGTTTAAGCATAATAAGAAGTCTAAACATTTAAATTATATAAAAAGTTAAATTAAAATTAATTTACTTATTCCGTTCTAAAGTATTTTAAAAATAGACAACTATAAAAAATGTGTTTGGTTATTTTCAATTAATAATTAAATAATTGCTTAATATTATCTGGTAGAATATTGTACTGTACATATAAATGAAACTGAATAAAAACATTCTATATAAAAGTAAAGGAAAGTAAAGGGGGATCAACTATCTTTTCTATGTGATATAATAAATCAATATTACAATACAGATACTGTATT